GGGAGACTTATGTTTGGCTGAAATTCTCTCGTGTGTGTGTGTGTGTGTGTGTATGCGTGTGTGTGTGTGTGTATGCGTGTGTGTGCGTGTATAGGTTTCCCTTGCTTTATGCTGTACGTGTGTTCCTGGAAAACAGCACATAACTCAAATTCACATAACGGGAACCCACTTTACAATGTAACAAATAGGGATACGTTTCCAAGACCTCGACTGTACTGACCCCCAGACCCATTTCTACCACTTTTATGAGACAATGTTGGTACTCACCAACAGCAGACAGTCCACACAAGCACAGGGCACTATCATAATGGGGATGGTAACAACAGAAACTTGTCATACAACGAGTGAGGAGCACAGATCCACACAGGAGACTATATTTTGATGCACGGCACTCCCACACTGTATCGCACAAAGCAGCTGACTGCGGGCTTCCCGGGCTTCCACCACACCAATCGCATAAGAGTGTATTTACCTCGCATATAATGAATTTTGGTATAAAAAGGGTCATTGCATAAGAGCGAATTCGCACATACAGAACCCGCTTAAAGCGAGGGAAACCTGTATCTGTGTATATCTGTATGTAAGTGTGTCTGTGTGTCTGTGTATATGTGTTTAGTGTATGCATATATTTATAATACCTGTAAAAAGTAGTAAGTTTTGTCAGGAACAACAAGTATAACAGGTTTATTCCGCTCTTAATGAAATGACATATCTTTAAAAAGGTACAACTTTTTCTGAAGGATTATTTCATTATATGAAGCACTATGTGATAGACTGAACATAGATACACAACTAAGCTTTCTAGTTTTATGAACTTTGTATCGTCTTGAATCAATTCATGATTCAGGGTTTTCTGCTACTAATCCAGGTATTAACAGTAATCCTGAAGGTACATTTAAAACTAATTGAAAGTGAATTGGAATATGTTATTCACATATTTAAGAATTTTTGCTTATACTTCCAGTATTCTTGTTAATAGACTCATCTCTAATTTGCTAAAGCTTTTGCCAAGAGAGTTCTTCTACACTTACATGAAAAGCATACATATGCAATAAAAAACATAAGCTAGTATCTGAGATCTGTATGGTTGCCACTTCACCTGTATTTTAAAAATGTTCTCAATCAATCAGTTCAATTTATTAAGGATTCTGGCTGAAAGCCATGCTCCCAAAAACAACATAACAGACATACAACCATAATATAATTTAAATAAAAATAATATAAATGCAAATATAATAATAAAATGGGGCCGACCATTATAAAAGCATTATTCCTACTCCTAGAATTAACATAATCAAATACAAATATGGTGATAAATCAGATCATGAAGCTATAAAAATGTTGTGCATAGGTCCACAATTAACACATTAAAAAACAAATATAATGATAAAGTTTATTGGTCGTATCAACAGTAAAGGATATTTAGCTCCAATCGCTTCAGCCTTGTAAGCAGAGATTGCAAGATGGTTTACTAAATATGGATCTGTCTGCTGGAGAAGCCATATTCATTTCTCTGTATTTGAGAAGTATGTCAATGTCTGCAAGAACAGTGATAAATACTTTCTTCTTATGTCATTATATAAGGGACATTCTAAGACATAACGAATAGTGTCTTCCAAAACTCCTAGACAGGCTGGGCAACATCTTTTAGCCCTTGGAATGGAAAGTCTATGTACAGCCAAAACAGCTGTGGGCATCTGTTCAGTCCTGAGTCTAGTCAAAGAGATTCGCCGCTTATTGTTGAGAGCCAGCTGTAAATACCTTTCTCCCCCTGGTCTAATTTCCAAAGAATATATAAAGGGGCCATGCAAGTAGCCCTGGCCACTGCAAAATCATTCTGCCTGGCAATATCTTGGAACCTCTGGAAAACCCAGACCTTTTCTATGGGGGAGAAGAGTCTTCCATTGTCTTTGACATAGTGTCCCATCCTGGAAAATGCAAAAGTGTGGGAAAGAAAAGCTAGCCAGGGAGATTTAAGAGAAGGGGGATTATTGATGTCTTCTATATAGCACAATTTGAGCAAGCAGGACAGTAGAAGAGGCAGGATTTTAAGCCAGAATCTTGACATTCTAATAATAATATTAGTTAAAATGGAATCTAATCTCATCTCGAATATCAAGAAGGATACGGGAGGTGAAGGAGGAAGACCCAGAAGAGCCCAAAGAAACTTATTCTGAGGTATGTCTCATTACTGGCAGCATAGGCCCATACGTCAGCACCATACAGCATCTGAGACACAGCTTTGGTTTTATATGCTAATGTGTGTGTATGTGTATCATTGGCAGCCATCAGTCTTGGGAGACCATGGAGATTGCATCTTCGGTGGGTTAGTATGTGCCACCACAGCTTCTTGAGTGGCTAAGTATATATGTGTGTATAGATGCAGCTGTGTGTGTACATGTGTATTTGCATCTGTGTGTATATCTGTATTTGTGTTTATGTTTGTATATAAAATATATATAATATAAATACAAATATTTATTTTTTATTTAGGGCTTCATGGATACGAGCACATGAGGGAAAATGGAAGGAGTTAAATCACTCTAATGGCACTATATGGGGTTATACACTAAACCACAACAACTGCTAATGGGGTAGTGAATATCCCAAGTTACTCTTACCTGGACTGTACTATCTAGTCAATTCTGGGGATGTTTACAGGTGAAAAGCAGTAAAAACATTTGTTTTGTCCATGAGGATCTGAAAGTTGGGTTTTATTGCCATCACTTTTTATATGTTTTTGTCTCAGGGCACTAAGGTGCCTGCTCTTTTAAGGACTGAAACTGCTAGGGAGACAGCCCTAGCAGTCAGTCAGGAACCCCTCAGCTGCAAGTTACCATGGCCGCAGGAAGGAAGGAAGGAATTAGCCCACACCTGCCAGCGGTCAGCTGACCAGAAGAGCCAGGGCCTGGGGCATATATAAACCCCAGGGCTGGGGCCAGAGGGGCAGTTCCCTGTCAGCAGCTAAGGGGGAAAGGAGCTTTCCTAGAGGAAGCTGAATGAAGAGGCTTGACGGCCCATCTCCTCCTTCTGGTAAGATTAAGGGAGTTTAGTTGCTCCCCAGACCCTGGCCTCTAAGGCATGTTGTGCTCGGGGAAGGGTGATTCATTTAAAGGGACAGAGCACACCTGGAGCTGCTTGCATTATGTTATAGCCCAGGGGACACAGGGTTCAGTGGGGTCCATCAGGACCGTGTCCAAACAAATTTGAGGGCAGCCTCCCTATTTATTATAGTTACACCAAGACGCGGCGGGAGAGAAAGAGGGTGCCCATTAGGCACAGTCAAGGGGCCCTTGTGGTCCCATGGCCATTCCTGGGGACCCCGTCCCATGACAGTTTTCTTCATCTGTTTCAGCTTGTATTGTATCAGTGCCATTCCACACAACTTGCGTAACATTCAGATCTTTTAGTGTGCTGCAAATCAACCAAAACACAGGTGTTTACATAAAATGTCAGTTTGACAATGTGCTGACTGTAGGTGTTATATGGTTCAAGACCCCTTCCAAAGGATTGCCAATCTACTGATTGTGACAGGGTGGAACCTAAGTTAGGTTACCTGAGCTGTCTGTATGGTCCTTGCCTGCCATGACTTTGCTGTGATTTTCAGGATGCAGTTCCCTGTAGGCAACCTTCCAGGTCCTTTACCCTGTTCTCTTCATGGGGCACCAAACCTTCCCTTTATCCTGCCCTAACCATGTCCTGTCTCTGACGACGATGGATGTTGTAGGGACTTCATAATGGCTCTAGCAGTGTGTATGTTAACAGCAACCCTAATGGCATCCTGCCACTTGACTGGTCCTCACCCTGGCCTTGGACATTCTCTATGCCGAGCTACAAAGTTTGCGGCTGCTAGTCAGCCAGCTCAGAAGTCAAAGTATAGTCCTGCGTGTAACAAGTGCAATAGTCAATACACCAGTGGCTGCAGCTCTTGCTGGATAGCCCCGTTGCCATGAGAATAATTATCTTCCGCCAACAGGAGTCCCTCTAGTGCCACTGCCCTCACATGCTCTTGTATCATCAGAAACTATGGCCAGAAGAAATAATATTGCTAGAGGTAGAAGATAATTGAATAATAAAATGGATAGACCTTGATCTTTAACTAATATGTGAGTGTTTGTAACATTCAATCTGTCAAATTTAGTCTTTTAGTTTCTTCTGTACTGTACATTTCAGCACAGGGATTCCAATATTTTGGTGAGGTTTTTTCTTATATTACCTAATCCTTTTCTCCAGGAATTCAGTAAATTCTGTTATTGATTTCAACTATGGTAGAATCAGTCCCGTAATTAATCCTATTTCACTCTGGTTTAAGAAAACTGTACAGAAAACACATCAGCATTCTCCTAGGAAGAACTGTTTTAAACCAACAATATCATTTAAAAAATAATATTCTTGCCTTAATGTTTACTGTTCTTAAAAAAATAAGATCTAAGATAGCTGCAAAACCAGCTGTGCAAAAATATGAGAGAAATATTTTCTTTCTATTGTAATTACATGTATTTTGCACAATAATTATTATGGTGAAAATGCTTTGTGTTAGTCCACGCCTTGCTAAGCATTCAAGTTTAGAACAAAATGCCTTGTTTATGAATATGTACAAAAGACTGTCTTGAAGCTTA